ATTTGGCTTAAGGAGGGAATAATATACACACTCAATTGGGTATGGAAATCTGTCTTACCCTGCAAGAAAATAGGAGGGAAGAGGATAAGATTTGGGGTATGATAGACGGAATGGCAGAGAATAGAATAAATGGGGGGGGGGGGTAATCAGAAGCAAACACTTCTGAGGAGGGACAGGGGTAAAAGAGAGAATAGAATAAACAGAGGGGGCAGGATAGGATGAAGGGAAATATAGTTAGTTTTTTCACAGCATGAAAAAGGAGGTCAGAGACTGAATTTGGGGAGGAGAAACTTGGTGAAATTTGGAAACAAATGAGCAAATTTCAAGAACAATATCCAGGCCCAGATACTGTTCCAAATTCTACCTTTGGGTTGAAAGCCGAGTTGGATCAAGGACGATTAAGGAGGATATGGGCAGGATTTAGGAAGAGCTAAAAGGGTTAAAGAAGATCTGGAAGGTTTAGACTATAGGGCTTGGAGGGATAGACTCAAGAAGGAAAAGAAGGTAGTTGAGTCAAAAAAAGAGGGAAGTGGCACAAGTAGAGTGAATTGGCATAAGCTAAAAGGGCAGCGGGAAAAGTTGTGGAGTGGAGGAAGTGAAGTCAGGTAGGATTGTCAAGGATTTGAGAGGTGGTTATTGAGTGTAAAAGTTTGAACCAGGATAAACACTAGCAAACAAGTTCAACAAAACATTTTCAGTCTTGTTTTGTTGAAATAAATTTGTTAAATCTCAACATTTATGGAGAATAAGGGAAATTTTGCAGTGACTTATATTGACTTTGTGCTGTTTGTGTTTCTACCACAGCCAAGTGACTGTTATCTGTGTTCTAAGTGCAGACCAAGTTCCCTCCTGGAGAAGAAAGTAAAGGAACTGAAAGGATGCTTGTTAGAGAGAGTAAATTATCTGTAAAGGAAAGAAAAAAGAAGTTTCAGTAGGAAATGAAGTGATGTGAGGTGGAGGAAGGAAGACTTGACCCTTGTCAGGAGATTAGAGAATAAAAGAACGTGAAACAGAACAGAAAGAGGAGGGAAAAGAAAGATGTACATTTAGAGATTAAAAACAGATTGAAGTCACTTCCCAAAGAGGGGAGCACTGGATGCCCTG